TGGTCCGCATTGTTTTTCGGCTGCTGGTACTAAGCTACACTATAGTACCGCCTACCACCCGCAATCGAACGGTCAAACAGAGGTGGTAAATTGTTGCTTGGAGACGTACCTACGGTGTTTCTGCCATTCTCGGCCAAAACAGTGGCCTAAATGGTTGCATTTGGCGGAGTTTTGGTATAACACAACTTATAAAGTCTCTACTGGAATGTCACCTTTTAAAGCTTTGTATGGTGCAGATCCTCCGCATGTATTGCGCATTGGTAACAGTGCTGTTTCTGTTGATGCAGTGTCTCAATTGTTAATGGAGCGGGATGCCATTTTGGATGAACTTCAGTCTAATTTAGTAAAAGCTCAAAATCGTATGACAGCCCAAGCTAATTTGCATCGCAGGGAGGTTGCTTTTGAAGTTGGTGATCTGGTTTATTTGAAGCTTCAGCCCTATCGTCTCAAGACTCTTGCCAAGAAAATTAATGAGAAGTTGAGTCCTCGTTACTATGGGCCTTTTAAAGTTGTGCAAAAAATTGGGGCTGCTGCGTATCGTTTACTTTTGCCCGACGGCTGTCGTGTACACCCTGTTTTCCATGTTTCTCTTTTGAAGAAGGCTGTTCATTCTGTGCCTAATGCTCAGCCATTACCTTCAATGCTGTCTTCTGCTTGGGAGCTGCAAGTGGAGCCTGAGGATGTTTTGCAGTGGCGCCATTCTGTTGCTGGAAGTCTTGAGATTTTGGTGAAATGGAAGGATTTGCCTTCTTTTGAAAACTCGTGGGAGGATTTTGTGGAATTGGCTGAGTTGTTTCCTACTGCCCACCTTGAGGACAAGGTGCTCAAATTGGGGGGAAGTATTGATAGACTCTCGAAGCCCAAACCCAAATCGTCAAAGCCCATTTTGACTTATGCTCGTGATATAAATAGGAGGAAGGTTAATTGGGCCTCATTGGGTAGTAATACAACACCTGAAGAGACTGAAGCTGTGGAGCGTGAGAATGACGTCCCTACTGGAGAGTGAGACGGATGCATGAGTGGGAGGTTGGGAGTTTGTTATTTAGGTGTGTTGCTGCATGGAGAGAGGTACCATTGGAGGTCATGGAATTTAGGCTTGGCTTGGGAGATATTCAGGGCGTCTCATATGTGCTCTGATAATTAGTTTTCTGCTTTAGTTCTTCTTTTGGCTCTGTAATAATTGTTTTCTTGTATCAAATATTGCACTTGGTTAATTTCAACGAGTGAAATACAAATAGCAGTGACATTATTTCTTTTGAATCGTTTTGATCCTATCAGAAAACGAAAAACTTTTGGTAAAAGATGAAGATGTAAATGAAAGATGGATGAACTACTTTAACAAACTTTTTTAATGGGGATGGCGATAAAAGCGAGGTGGGCTTGGAGGATGCTTATGATGATCTGAATTGAAGATTTGTGTGCATACTTAATACACATGAAGTCAAGGAGGCTTTAAAGAGGATGAAGACTAATAAAGCTTTGGGATCCGATGATGTACCTATTGAAGTGTGGAGGGGCTTGGGGGAGGTGGCAATAAATTGGCTGATTAATCTTTTCAATATGATTCTTCAAACAAATAAGATGCCTGATGCTTGTAGGAAGAGTATGCTTGTGCCTATTTACAAAAACAAGGGAGATATCCAGAATTGTTCTAATTATAGAGACATTAAGCTTATGAGCCATACCATGAAGTTGTGGGAGAGAGTTATTGAGCATTGTTTGAGGAGAGAGACCAAGATTCTGTAAATCAATTTGGATTGATGCCAGGAAGATGTACCACAGAAGCTTTTTTCTTGATGCGTTAATTGATCGAAAGATATCTAGAAAAAAAAAGAAGGATTTACATATGGTGTTCATAGATCTTGAGAAATCATATGATAGGGTCCTAAGAAAAGTTTTATGGTGGGTTCTTGAGAAGAAAAAAGTATCATCAAAGTATGTAAATGCAATCAAGGATATGTATGATGGAGCTACTACATGTATGAAAGTTTGTAATGGAATATCAAGTTATTTTCCTATTACAGTAGATGTACACCAAGGTTCGGCTCTGAGTCCTTATCTTTTTGCCTTCGTGATGGATGAACTAAGAAAAGACATTCAAGAGGAATTGTCGTGGTGTATGATTTTTGCAGATAATATTGTGCTTATTGATGCGACCAAAGACGGTGTTAGTCGGAAACTTGAATTGTGGAGAAGCACTTTGGAGTCTAAAGGTTTCACATTAAGCCGGAGCAAGATTGAGTAAATGAAGTGTGAATTTTCTCTGGTAAGAGATAGAGATGAAGACCCTGTGCATCAACTTGGTCAAGAAGTACCCAATAAAGATGCTTTTAGATACCTGAGATCAATTTTGCAAAAAGGTGGTGAGATTGATGAGGATGTAAAACATAGAATCAGAGTAGGATGGATGAAATGGCGGATTGCATTTGGGTTTCTGTGTGACTGCAAAATTCTCCTTGAGATAAAAGGAAAATTCTATAGGACAGCAGTAAGGCCTGCAATGTTATATGGAGCTGAATATTTCTCAGCACATAGGCAACACGAGCATAAAATGAGAGTAGCAGAAATGAGGATGTGAAGGTGGATGTGTGGTTATACGAGGATGAATAAGATAAGAAATGAAGATATTCGACGAAAGGTAGAAGTAGTACCGGTAACTGAAAAGATGACGGAACATAGATTGAAGTGGTTTGGGCACGTAATGAGACGGCCCCTGGATGCTCCTGTAAGAACAAAAGTTTGTTACCAAGAGTTCTACACAAAGAGAGGTAGAGGTAGACTGAAACTTATCTGGGGAAGAGTAGTTAAACTAGACTTAATGGAGTAGATATAGATTGGCGGACGGTGTGTCTTAGGACAGAATGTAGAAAAGCTATAAGCAGGGTGGAAGATTAAAACTTTTGTTATTCTTATGTCCCATGTGGTCCTTTTTGAGTCCTTTTCCTCTTCAATTCCCCCTCTCTTTCTTTTGCCCTTCTTGTCTTTTATCTTATTTCCCCCTTCCCCAATTTTTTATTTTTATTTTTATTTATTTTTTATTCTATTCTATTTTATTTTATTTATTTTTTAATCTCCTCTTATATATCGTTGGGTTCATCTACGACAGACTCCAATTAGCTTGGGTTAAAGGTGATGTTGATGTTGATGTTGATGTTGATTTGTTAGCTATATAAATGGTTAGCAAAAAAACTTATAGAATATCTACATTCTAATTATACCTTTCTAATTATTTATTTTTACCTATAAAGACTTAGTCTTACATCATGCCACCATGCATCCTACAACGTATTTCATAATTGAACATCACTACCAAAAAAAGTGCGAAGCAAATGAGGTGCTATAATTGCTGGTTATCATAACCGATTTGCGATCACAAAGAATAATGATTTGATGATCTTAAAACTAGAGATATATTACAGGGGATAAAAAGTGGTGATGCCCCTCTGCTAATTTGTCAAGAGTTTTTCAAAATGATGTTTTCATTTTTTATTTTATTTTTAATACAAAACTTGCCATGATGACAGCGATATAGCTCTAAGCCTGGATTTGGTGTCCTTGATCTTACTCTTTTTTATGATCTTATATCAAGAGCACATGCTATTTTAGGTAGTTCTGTCTAATTATCTGGTGAATCTTTCTTATTCTGATATATGCAATCTTCAATAGCCAAGTCAAACTGTAATCATCTTCAATAGCTATTTGATGATCTTATTGTTAGACTTATATCTTGATATACTAATTTTCCTCAACCATGTAAGTCCTTACCTATTTGCCTTAGTTATGGATGAACTAACAAAAGATATTCAAGAGGAAGTGCCATGGTGTATGCTTTTTGCAGACGATATTGTGCTTATTGATGAGAGCAAGGAGGGTGTTAATAGAAAACTTGAATTGTGGAGAAGCACATTGGAATCCAGATGATTCACATTAAGTCGAAGCAAGACTGAGTATCTGAAGTGTGAGTTTTCTCTGGTACAAGATGAGGACCAAGAACCTGTGCATCTAAATGGTCAAGAGGTACCCAAAAAAAATGCTTTTAAATACTTGGGCTCCATTTTACAAAATGGTGGAGAGATTGATGAGGATGTAAATCACAGAATCAGAGCAGGGTGGATGAAATGGCGTAGTGCATCTGCATTTTTGTGTGACCGCAAAATTCCCCTGAAGTTAAAAGGAAAATTCTATAAAACGGCAGTACGACCGGCAATGCTATATGGAGCGGAATGCTGGCCAGCACATAGGCAACATGAGCATAAGATGGGAGTAGCAGAGATGAGGATGTTAAGGTGGATGTGTGGGTACACAAGGATGGATAAGATAAGAAATGAAGATATTCGACGAAAGGTCGGAGTAGTACCGGTAGCCGAGAAGATGAGAGAACATAGATTGAGGTGGTTTGGGCACGTGATGAGAAGACCCATGGATGCTCCTGTAAGAACAGAAGTTTGTTACCAAGAGCTAAACACAAAAAGAGGCAGAGGTAGGCCGAAGCTTACTTGGGGGAAAGTAGTAAAACAAGATTTAATGGAGTGGGATATAGATTGGCGGACAGTATGTCTTAGAAAGGAATGGAGAAAAGCTATAAGTATGGTGGAGGGTTAGACTCGCTGTTATTCCTATGTTCCAGATGGTCCTTTTTTAGTCCTTTTCCCCTTCATTTCCCCCACTTCTTCTTGTCCCTTTCTTTTTTACTTTTATTTATTTATATATACATATATTTTTATTTCATTTTATTTTATTTTATTATTTTATTTGTGTATTCTTATTTATTTATTTATTTATTTATTTTTTATTTTTTATTTTTTATTTTTACTTTTTTTCAACCGTTTTGTATCTTTCATGTGGGTTCATCTACCACCGACCCCAATTAATTTGGGATAAAGGTGTTGTTGATGTTGATGTTGATGTAATTTTAATCTTCTTCCCTTCATAATCATCTTGCAAATGATTCTACCTTGCTCTTCCTGTTCATTGACATAAAATATTGCTTAATTTTGAAGATGTCTCTGGCGTTCATGACTTGCCCAGTTACTATCCCCATGATGATGATAGAGGAGGGCTCCGAGTAGTTAGAGATACTGAATCCCTTGATGCATCCTACGAGCGTTATCTCCGTAGTGCGGTATTAGTTATTTATTCTGTGATCAAATTGCTAATGATATTTTTCTTGTTATATTATGGCCTTAATTGGCTTGTTGAATTTATAGGCAACTAGGATCTATTTACTTTTATCTTGTGTTTGTTATGTATATGGATAGGATAGAGATTTGGACAAGTGGATTTTTAATCCTTAAATTAAAGCTAGAATAATTTCCAAATAAATCTGTTTTAGCTCCAAATCCCTGTCCAGTCACACCGAGCATGTGATGGGATAACTTATTTCACTGGATAGGATATCCTATTCAATCTTGTTTTATTACGAGATAAGTCTGGTGTGTTAAACATGCCTATATGTTTAAGGCTAACATATGTACATGTTTCAGCAAGTTTCTTCTTATGGTCCGGGACAGTCTACTAGAACTTTTGGTGGGCGAGTTCCCAGCCGTTCTATTGATGATTCACATGTCACAAGTATTGGGGGAGTAGATCGAGGAACAAATGCAAAAGACAAAATCCTGGGATTCAGTAGTGGAAGGGATGACTATTCTCTTCCACCTGATGCTACCAGTACACTATTTGTGGAGGGTTTACCTTCCAACTGTACGAGACGGGAAGTAGCTCGTATCCTTTCATATGTTTCCCCTTAGTTTAATGCTTTTTATTGTAGATTTCTGCTTCTTAACTTGGAGGTACAGATATTTTTCGTCCTTTTGTTGGCTACAAAGAAGTCAGACTTGTTAGCAAGGAATCAAGACAAGTAAGTTTACTCAAAAAGTAGAGAATTACTATTATTTGCATTGGTGGATTTTTGACTGAGATTATGTGCAGCCTGGGGGTGAACCATTGGTACTTTGTTTTGTCGATTTTATGAGTCCAGCTCATGCAGCAACCGCCATGGAAGCATTGCAGGGTAAGATAACTTTTTCTTTTTTCTTGTAATGACAGCCTCATGCATGTCTTGTTCAACCCAATGTGTTCCATTTCTTTATTCCCTTCAACATGCTGAATATAGAGAAATTCCAGCAGAACATTTTTCTGGAATGTCTCCAACATTGAGTGTGCTAGAACGAACTGTATATTCGATTTCTTTATGATTCATGCGCCTCTCATGTTAGTGCCTCAGGAGTGTGGGACTGCTCCTAGATAATGCACACAGGATTGGTTTTGGGTAATAGATAAAATGGGTTAGAGCTGGGTTTAGGATGTGACTGCTGCCTTAAATGTGCTCAGCGGAAATGAATAAAGAAATCATTGCAAGGATATTATGTAAGCATCTGGATAAGAGTGGTGAGTCCTACTTGGCGGTGTTCATGATGAATGGAAAAGCGGCATTATATTTAACCTTATGCGCTATAATTTCTTATCTAGCTCTCCTTTTTTGGGGGAATGGGAGCTGGTTTGGCTCAGATGAAAATGACACTCTAGTTTGGAAGGTTGACAGTTTTTGCATTCTGTAAACCTAACGCCATCATATATATTTTCTACTCCTAACCATCTTTATCATTCTCAATGATTAAGCTGACACCCATATTTTATCATTGCGGGTTAAAAGTTTTGGGGGTTAGACTATGAATACCATCCGTTTTGACATTTCCATATCGTGGAGGTAGTCCCCTTCCTGGTTTTGAGTAATTCATCTGGGTAAAGCGGATTGCTTAAAGGCTCTTTGATTATATGGAATATTGATGGCTATGGGCCGGTTTGACCAAATACGTTCTCTTGGTTTAGGAGACTGTCATGTTCATATGTCCTTCCAACTATTAGCAGTGTAAGGATTATTTCCTCAAAAATTACTTTTTCATGTTACAATGTTTTATTTGTTCCTGCTGCATAGATCTTAAACTTGAGTAAGGTATATTCTTTGAATATTCTACGTTTCACTGAATGCCCAAAGGCGGAGACAGTCAAACTGTGGAGACTCACTGAAGGTTACTCAGCCTTCTTCCTCTTCCTGCTCTTACGTAGTAATGAGTGAGGCACTCGCATTTTCACGTATATTGGGTTTGAACGTTTTCAGATGTATTTCAGGTTTATTATGTCTTAAGATATAGCACACGTCTTATATCATCTGCCTGCTGACACCCTATTTCGCCGTCCAGAACGTGGCTAGTTGTTCAGCGTAAAACAATGAACCTTAATTTTGCAGGTTACAAATTTGATGAGCTTGACCGCAACTCGGTTAATTTAAGGTTTCAATTTGCTCGCTATCCTGGTGCGAGGTCAGGTGGCGGGCATCGTGGCAAGCGTTGAATTATGCAATCTACAGGTGATTAATACTATTATTTCGATCCGTTCACGCTCTGTTATTAATGGTCACTGGGGGCTGAATAAAAGCTTCATTATGAACGTTAATCGTGCTGAATCGTGAAACGACAATTCTATGTAGGATTCACTCATATTGGGGAGGTTATGATTATGAGAGGCAAGTGATCAGCCTTGGAGTCGAGAATTACAGTTGCTTTCGTTAGGACCAAGTCGAACCTTGTGATATTCGTATGTGGGGGCTCGCTAGACATTCAGATTGTGCATTTGTTTGTGAAAGTTGTTTAACTTATTTAGTATAAATTCTTCAAATTGTCATGTTCGGTACAACTTTTTTTGATGGTGTTTCACTGCTCTTGCGTATATCTGGGAATAAGAAGCATGCTTTTCATGCATGTTTCTAGTGATCCTTTTAGATATCAAATACTGTTTGTCGATTGTTAATTTTGTTAGATCACTTTTAATAGTGGCTAATTAGACAAATATCGGTGCACTCATTCTTGCTTTGTCCAAAACCAATCTATCTACATGCTTCTCTCATCTACATTTTTTCAGCTTAATATGATTTAATTTATAATTTGTCGTTTTAATATGAAATGTCTGTAAATTTGCTTTCCTAATTAATATTTTTCATTTTACAATAAAATTTTCCTGCCTTTCTTGAAAACATGTTCCTCAGACTGTTGAGGTATGACTTTTGATTCATGTATTTCTGTATTCCAAGTTGTCAGTGTTGGGTTTATAGGTATGTTTTTTTTGGTGGGTTTCGTTTGTGGGACATGTAGTACTAGAGATGTCATTGTAGGCTTGTCTCGATCTTCTATTAAAGTACTGGCAGTAATGACCTGCTAATCATAGGAGTGATAATAATATGATGATGAGAACGGTTTACATGTTTGTTCTGTTTTTGTCCAAGCACAGTATAAGTTATGTTTTCAATTTGACGAGGATGATAAAATATTGAAGGATGCTGCGCGTGTTATTAAGGCATTGTTCTATGTATTTGATCGTTGTTGGGTTTAGAAATTAATCAGACCTGATGTTACTTGTGCCAATTTCCAGCTGCACCAAAGTAACTGTTCATATAGATATTCTGGGCCTGAAACTTTCCGAACAATGACACCTGGGTTTCTTAGTTGAGGAGGTCCTAGGTTTTGCCGTGAAACCTTCAGAAAAAAATTAGTCCTGGATTTTGGAATTAGGACTGACTTGTCTAATTGACTTGGTTGTTCGCTGGGTTCATTTCTGTTGTGCCACTTTAGCTGGGGCTGCTTTAAAGGAAACAAATGGAAAAGACACTTAACCCATATGTTGAATAAAATAGGTGTCATGGTTCGGGTTTTATTGCATGAAAATCTTGCGACTCCTTAAACGTACTGCGTCTTACAGTTTTTTTTTTTTTTTTTCCATGAGAAATGACACATATATGCATCCTTTTCTTAACAAAATCCTCACACCAAAGAAATTGAATAGTTGTACAACAGTGAACGAGTCTGCAAAAGTGTATACCTTGGAAGTTTGTGTGGTGTGTCTGTAAAGGAGTGTTTGTCTCATTTTTAACTGATAGTCATTTTGAGCTTTTGATATGGTTCATATATCTAAGCCACGAGTAATTAGAACATTTTAGGTGGTTTATAGTTTTTTTTTTTTTTTTTTTTTTTTTTTTTTTTTTTTTTTTTTTTTTTTTGGGAAAGTGTTTCTCACATAAAGTTATTTTCATCAAATCCAAAGTAACGTTTTGGGATTTAGTAAAAAAGAAAGGGTATTTTGAAAATTTGACTTTGATCTTGTATCATGAATTTTATTAAAATTTTTTTTTTTTTAATCTCAAAACGGCATTGTTTTAGAATTGTAAGATATAATTTCATCTCTTGTGATAGGAGAAGCCCTAAATTGTTGTGTTCGCGTTAGTAATTGTAAAAATATTATCTTATTTTCACTTTGTTTCCTGTTTTGAAAATTTTTCAAAGGAAGTTGTGATCAATATATTTCCCCCCCATTTCTTTCATGATATCTTGGAATAATTTTTTTAATTTAAAATTAAAACGAGTTGGAAAAAATAAGGACAAACCAGACAATTACAACCATTGTTTTCCGGTGTCCTTGCTATACGAAAACACCTAACGAGGCATACAGAATAATTAGTTTGCAACGGGCTTAGAGTACTATGGTTTCATACTGCTCTGGACGTCACTGACAGTAGGCACTGGGGAGTATATATTGATTGTAATTGCTGACATCCCTTAAGAAAATAAATCCAATGTTTTCGCAGTCTCTGTGAGATGCAGTTCAAGTTTGATGACAAATAGGGGATTCCCTCATTTGTAAGTTGTGTTTGGGAATTGGCATTTCGCAATAAGTAGCAAGTCATATTCATGTTAAGCCACGTCCTTATATAATGCAATGTAAATATTGTTGGTAGCAAGAGAGATCAAATTCCATAACCAGATATTGGACCGTTGTGGGGCCTTCTTTCGTATCTCCTGTTCTACTAAAATTTTGTAAGTTATATGATGAGGATATGCAGGATATTTGTCAGGAACAGTAGAAAAAAGAGTGAAAATCTTAGCATTTCTGTGATAATTATTTCTCGGATGCTCAGTTGGAGTGGTGGTATTTAGGACTGGTAATGTTGGTTTGAGTCTTTTGTTCTATTGATTCTTGCTTAGGCTTCTTGTAATTGAAACTATGGATGATTGTTTGGCACTTTATGGCTGTATGAAGTTGGGTGTCCGTGTGTTGGATTGGCTCAGTTGAGTTGTAACATTCTATCGGATTAACCTTGTATGAAGTTATGGAATTGGCGGATTTGTATTTGATTTGATACTAATCATTTATTCATTTTATGATATATGTTACTAGTCGAACTATCAACATGTATAATATGCATGCTTCGTGCAAGATAACTGCTAATGAAAATTAAAATAACAGCTAACCATCCTAGCGCAAGTTCTTGTGGCAAAACGCATGCATTCTTTTTTTTTTTTTTTTGGTAAAAAAAACGCATGCATTCTATTAATATCTTTTTACGTGTGAGTAATCCCTTAATGGAATAAAAGTTTATTTTTCCTATGTTTTATAAGGATTATTAATTAATTCTAAAATATTTTTAAAAATTATGTATAAATTGATCAACAGAGCAAATTAATCAACTGGTAAGATTACGTGGGTCTCTCTTTGTGTGAAAACTAAAAAGTTTTCGTATTCGAGTGAGAGATGTCAACTGCAAGATGTAACTTGCTTTTTAAAGAATGAAATACTAAGGGATAGGTTCGGTATTGTCTTTCAGGGAGGTGAAGTTCAAAGGGATATTTGAAAAGGAATTAGTTTAGGAGATGTATTGGATTGAGATTTTAATGGATTATTTTTGGATAAAAGAATCCATTGGTATTTAATTAGGATTTTAAAATATTATTTTAGAGCCCGTTCAAATCCGTTGGTATTCAATCACGATTTTCAATAAAGGAAAATAATTAAAAATTTGACGATTTTAATGAATTTTCTATTGGTGTGGATTTTGTGAGATTTTTTAGTGAAAAATATAAATAGAATGTCTCTCTCACAATTTCACTTTAACCCCTGAGATTTCTTAAGATTTTTTTATTCCAGTGTCTTCTTCTTTCTTTGACGGATCAACCCGCTCGAAATCAGGTTCCGCCATGAGAGCTTTGCCAAAGCTAAAATACAGTAGATTTTTGAACGATTTTCATAATAAAACAACCCAACAAGATTTTAATCTAATCCATCTCAAAAGCCGCATATTTTTTAGCGATTTTTAAGAGTTTCTGGAAGTATAAAAAATAATTTTTCAAGCTATTGGACGCAATTTTTCTTGGTATAAAAATGTGTGATTTTTGTATTAAAAATAACATAAAATAGTGGAAAAACTACAAGCGAACAAAAAATCCCAAATCAATTTTCGTTTTACATCAATGAAACAAGATCGATTTAAAAAAATGTTGAAACTTTCATAATATAAATCCTATGTTTCATAACAATACTTTCATGAATGAAATTCCTTTGCTATAGGAAACGATTTCAAACAGTTTTTGTGTAAATAGATTAGTGAAAACTTATTATTCAAAAGCCCCAAAGCAATTTATGATTTTCAATTTATCGATTAAAAATAATTTGAGAAATTTTCTAAACTTTCATGTAATAAAACCCATAAATTCAGATTCAATTTCCTTTTTTATAATATTCAATGAAAACATGCATATGATATATGGTTAGAAAACTCTCATCACATAAAACAAAAATCGCAAAGTTTACAAGATCAATTGCAAAAAATTTCAAATGAAATTTTATCATAAATTTAATGATTTAGAAAATTATATTAGGTTTTACTTTTTTTATTAATATCATTGCATTTATTTTTTTATTGTCTCTTGTAATTTTGAATGTTTGATAAAAATTTATATGATTCTTTAAAATCTTATATATCCATGTTGTTCTTTCAAATCTTATAAATTCTATTACAATCCTTTAAAGTTCAATCTTATGAAATATTGATTGTAAAAAAAGCCTTTTAAAAAAGTCTTTAAAATTCTTCCAATTCTAAATAGTCTTTTAAAATCTATAATATTTTTTATCTCAAAAAAGTCTTTGAAAATACTAATACAATACACCCCCCTTAGCTCGAATATTGTAATTAGGGTATTCGCTCCATCTATCTAGAAGATTGGGAGAATGGATCCTCTATGACCATGTCACGAGGATCTTAATTATTCAAAGGTAAATTAATGGTAATGAGAGATGAGAGAAAAAAGAAGAAGATTGGGACAGGGTAGGACAAAAATTATCACGGTTTGTTTGTCTTTAAATGGTAAAGATCCATATGTGTCGCAACTGGATCGCAACGGGATTGCGAAAAATTCATTTGAAACAATGGTGTTACCATCAATGTTTATTTGTGAAAACATTAAAAAAATTATCGTGTTAAAGAAGTCTTTGAATACAAAAATGGATATAGAAGTCAATTACGAGTAGGGAGGGAGTTAGTATCCTACATTGTCCATTTTTTAAAAATTGTTATCTTGAATTAATTGTGCAAATTATTAGTATTTTTAAAATATCTGTTTCACCCCAAATAATTAAATTAAAGATAATTTAATTATCAAAAATTATTTTTGGGCTTGAGGAGAAGGTCTTGCTCCAACATATCTTTCGGTGCAATAGTGCAATAGGGAATTCAAAGCTACGTTATTTTGTAAAAGTATTTGTGTGATGGTTAGTTTTAATTTTTGAAAATAATATAAGAAAATTCATTTGATTGGATTTGAAAGTTTCAGATTATTAAGTTGTTGTAGCTAAAATAACCCGAAATGATAATTACAGGTTTTAACAAGTTGTCTCAACTTAGATAATTTTTTGAAAATAAAAGTAGTTTTTCAACATAAAAAATAAAGGAAAACAATGATCGAGTTTCAAAGAAAAAGTTTGGATAACTAAAATGACTCTAATTAGAATTCACGATATTAACAAGCTATCACAGTTAAGTTAACCCTAAAAATAAAACAATTTGAAAATTAATATAGAATATCAAATTTAAATAAGTTTGTGATATTAAACTGTCATAACTAAAATAATCCTAAAAATCCATGAGATTGTTTACCAAAAAAAGGAGAGATTAATAAATCTTCACGGTTAAATTAATTCCTAATTATTAAAAATTAATTAATACAAATTGATGAATCTAAATAAGTTTGGGTCATCAAACTAAAAAAAATGTAAAATTAACAAGTTGTTACAGCTAAATTAATCTTTCTTATATTTTTAAACTATATAAGAAAACTTATAATAAAACAAATAAAAAGCATAAAGATATGCAAAAATAGAAAATTGTCAACTAAAAAAAGAAGATAAGTAGACTTACTTCAAATGTAACAAAACTTAATATATAAAGCCTAGTTTTAGAGAGCCACCCTAATTCTCCTTAATTTTTTTTTTTTACTATAACACAAACTTAATATTAAGCCCAAGTGTCTTTTACAACTTTTGGAAGAGTTTTCCAGTCCAAAAACATAAAGAAGGCCTCCTTGTATAGAGAGGAAGGGAGGAGGAGAAGGAAAGACCAACGATAGTGTTTGGACAGCCCCAAGCAAGGGTGGGTTAAGTTGAATTGTGATGGAGCTTCTTCTAGTGGCATGAAAAAAACTAGTTGTGGTGGTATATTAAGAGATCACAATGGATCCTTTTTGGGAAGCTTCTATTGTAATTTAGGTTCATGCAATCCTCTTGATGCAGAATTATGGGGATTACTGAAAGGTTTAGAACTGCTTTGGGGAACAGGATTAAAAAGAATAGAGCTAGAATGTGATTCTAGCCAAGCCATCCAGATGTTAAAGGAGCAGCATGAAGATACTAGGGACTCTCAAGTCACTAGCAGATTGAGATTATGGTTAAAAGCAGATTGGACTATTCATCTTGTTCATACCAAGATAGAAAACAACAAATGTGCTCATTGGTTAGCTAAAGCTGAGCAGACTAATAATCTCTATTTCAAAATTTTTAAAGATCCTCCTCCTCAGTTGATGATGCTGATGCTAGAAATATGTCTAGCTTGTTAGTTTATGATTTGTAATTTCTTTCTGTTTCTGGGGCTTAGCCCCTCTTTATTTACAAAAAAAAATAAAATGAAATTAAGATTAACCTGCGCTGACATCTTTTGATTATAGCACTTAATCAATCTCTTCTTTTGGTTAAAAGGAATTAAGACAGTTTACCGTAAAATAAATAAATTAAGACAAGCTTTTGTTAAGATGTTGGGTTTCGTTTGCATCGGAACTGTTTTTCTTTTCTTTTCAAATGACAATTCAGTCTACTGACCAATAGCTAGCTACATAATTTTATGATGTCATTTGACCTTCCATTTCTGTTTGGTTAAACTAAGCTTAGTTTAATAAATAGAAACAATAGAACAAATTGAATACAATAAGAAAATCAATAATAATTTTGAAATTTATGTTCAACTTATGTGTAAAGTTACTGTTAAAACTATCACGTGGACAGTGTGAACAAGTATTTGAAATTTATGTTCAATGGGACTCGCTCATATGTCAAAAAAGAGAACATTAATTAATTTTGAAATCTCATCTCCAGACGAAAATGCCAACCACTGCATGCAGACAAAAAGCATAATCAAATGAAGAAAATATGAAGCTCATTATAACCAATTCTTGTGGATCATTAATGTTATTTACTGGAGCTGACTTACAACCCATGTGATTCACCGATAGGAATCTACCACCCCATATTATCAACATTCACACGTCGAAGTCACAAGCCTCTGCCCCTCACTCCGTCCAGCTTGAAGACGTGAAACTCTTTTTTTTTTTTTTTTTTTGAGTTACCCAACCCTAATTATCTCTTTGAGACGAGTTGGCTCCCTCCGGTATCCCCACGAACTTCGACTCTTTGAGCCGGCTATGGGACTAATCCGGAGTGCGGGAAACAGTGATGACTAAAGGTTCAGCCCCCTCCCCAAGAATGCATTCATATTTTGCATAATTTACGTTTGGATCACTTATATTAACAAAAATCCACCATTTGGAAAAGTAGCAAAAACTCTACGTGTGCGAATTGCAGAGTCTTTTGTCAAACAAACTATTTCAACATTAGTCTGGTGCTCAAGCACATGCATAAATTCATGCCGAAAATAAAATAAAATAAAATACATTAATTATTCCTCTTACAAAAGGAATGCAGTGAATACCAAATCATCCTTTAAGAATTAAGACAATGCCATTAATTTATAAAAATACAACTGTATTTGATTAAATTATTCCTTCATTTCATTAATGTCATATCTCAATATTCCGATTAATAAAAATGTCAAAAAATAAGGACAAAATAAAAAAAATAAAAATAATGCATTGATAATACCTAGCTTATTAATTCTGATTGGTCCACGTTTACTTTATTTTTCATTTTAAAAGGAATTAAAAAGAACAGAAAAACAAAACAAAAAGTTAAAAAAAAAATACAAAATTAATTAATATCCTTCCTTCATCAATTTCTAAAAGTGTACAAGTCAAATAAAAGAAAAGGAAAACAAAAATAAAGGAACAAATGTAAGAAAAAAGAAGGAAGAAGATCATCTACGTGGAATGTGCGGGAATAATGTTTTAACGGGGAAAAAATCATTTGTTTCCTTTTAATTAAATAAATTGAATACAATAAGAAAATCAATAAAATAAAATGATTAGGAGATTGATTAGTTGCGATATTTCTAGGATGTTAATTATAATGGGAAGAGCATGATTTGTATTATTTAAAAGTGATTTGATACCAATACCATAAGGGTGTGACGTATGATTTGCGTACGTTTTGTTCTGTCACTAAAAATGAGCAGGCAGCAACCACAAAATTAGCTGTAGGACATTAATTGTACCCTATATTTCCATTATATATATAGCGGTGCATTTGCATTTTCTCCATAACCTCACCGTTTGCTGTTACCTCAAAACGCAGAGATATCCTTGAATCATGTTCCACGCCGTTGCTTGACGGAATCCACCATCGACCACCGTTGACGCTGCACGAGCCAGATACAACCACCTCCGCCAAGTTCCAACGGCACCGGTCCGCACCATCCACCACAAGCCAAACAAAGATGTGAGTTAGCTACTTAATTACTGGAAAAAAAAAGTTCATATTTTATGTTAAAATTTAAGATAAGTTACCTGTCATGGGGGAAAAAAGAGAGAATATTATGGGAGAAAAAAGAAGTAAAAAATTACAAAAAACAGTTGTGTTTTTTCAAACGACAAACATTTTTTTTCATCATTTATTCATAAAAAATTTAAAATAAAACAATATAACTCACTTTTATTATCAATTCTGTATAGTAAATTAGACTTTTAACTTTTAAATATAACTTTAAAAATAAAAATATTTACATTTTAATTTATGTAAAATTGATAACATTTTATTTCATTCTTTAATTTTTATTACTATTTCTTTGCGATTTGAAATTTGATAATTTTTTTACGATTTATTGTTTTTTTATGTTGTAGGAGATAAATATATTTGTTACGAACATATAAAAATTTGTGGAAGTGTGCGAGCTTATATTTTTTCTTTTTTCTCTCTTCCACTCACATGTGTCCCACTTTTATGTACGTAGGAAATAATTTTTTTTTATCTCCAACAATGGTAGAAACGTTAAAAAAAAAATTAATGGTTAAATAATTTAAAACGGAAAAAAAGTGTCCACCAAAAAAAAAAAAAATTAAAACGGGAAAAATAATTCTTTTGAAACGAAATGAACAATTACGTTCTAACTTTAAAGTGTTAAAAATTCATTTATAACATTTTGGAAATCTTCCAAAAACTTTTATTACGTTTTTGACCCATTAACAGCATTAAATTGTTTGACATTGCATTTTTCTCTACTCTTAGCCTTTCTCACCGCTAAAGATATTAGGGATGTAATGTAGACCAAAAACATCCAGTCTGCTTAAAAAATAATAATAATAACATCCAGTCCAGAAAAACTACAACGAAGCAACGCCGTTTTTGAGTGATTTTTTTTTTTTTTTTTTCTTTCAAAACTGGAAAAATAAACTCGGGTAAAAATTAATCATTGGGCGAAAAAGGAAAAAAAATGAATGAAAAAAAAAATTAGTATAGATTTATTACAAACAACTTTCTTTTTGCTGAGTTCAAAGTCATTTTGTTTCCTATCTAAACATAGGAATGCCTCAGTCTTTTACTGTATAGCAAATTCATATCAGCCTCTAATGGCGATGCATATTCTTCTATTCATTAGATATGTGCATAAGATTTGACGTTGATATGTTCTTTGTTTGACGTTATTTTAGTGCAAGAAAGCAAAGTATTTACCATGGCATCCACATTTGAGGTTGAAGAAAGCAGGAGTGTCTCAGAGGAGGTGAATGAGACTGAAGAGTGCCCAGTGAAACAAGTGGAATTCACTGTACCTAAAACTGATGACCCCACCATGCCTATTCTCACGTTCAGAATGTGGTTTCTGGGTGTTGTTTCGTGTGTACTATTGTCCTTTGTGAACCAATTTTTTTGGTACAGAACACAGCCTTTGAGTGTTACCTCAATTTCTGCCCAGATTGCTGTTGTTCCAATTGGCCATTTCATGGCAAGGACGTTGCCAACTCGTGTCTTCTTCAAGGATACAAGGCTTGAATTCTCGCTCAATAGGGGACCATTCAATATCAAGGAGCATGTTCTCATAACCATCTTTGCCAATTCGGGTGCTGGAACTGTCTATGCTACTCATATTTTGAGTGCTGTGAAGCTCATGTATAAAAGAAAACTGAGTTTCCTTCCAGCATTACTTGTTATGCTCACTACTCAGGTTCCCTTCTATCAACAATTCCAATTTATTTATTTATTTTTATGTTTTTTTTCTTGTCTTGTTAGCCAAAAAGGTAATTGACTTGAGCTTTAAGAGCTTTCATATTTCAGAATCCATAGGACTTATATGAATCTTGTGAAGAAAATTAAGAAAGTCCTAGGCAATGTTGTTAAAATTATGATAAATTTGAGAACAAAATTTGAGAATCCGTGACACTTGGTCAACAAAAGCATGAAATACTTTGAGCATTATGTCATTTACAACATCCCGGTTTTAAGGAATTTATGGCATGTGATGACTTTCGTAGTTTGTTTTCGTTGGAAGGAGGGACACAAGGAGAAAAAGGAGGAAAGAAGACTTATGTAATCTTAGTTGGTAGTAAAAGTGTGCAATAAATCTTAATACATCAATGCTATTTTCTTTACATTGTATGAATTCTTGTAGCTCTAACTCATGACAAGTGTAATATAGAATATTGTCTAAGTTATGCTTCGTTATTCAATTTTAGGTGCTGGGATTTGGTTGGGCAGGTCTGTTTAGGAAGTTTCTGGTTGAGCCAGGGGAAATGTGGTGGCCTTCTAATCTTGTCCAGGTCTCATTATTCAGGTAAATTCTATTTAATTAATGTGTTGTTCAGTAGCTTCATCAAGAATGTAACTATGCTAAGCCAGTATAGTAATGCAGTGCTCTACATGAGAAAGATAAAAGACCAAAAGGAGGCACAACCCGTACTCAATTTTTCCTCCTTGTCTTGATCTCTGGCTTGGCTTACTATGTGCTTCCTGGCTACCTGTTTTCAATGTTGACCTCTTTCTCATGGCTATGTTGGCTTGCCCCCAAGTCTATACTAGTTCAACAACTTGGTTCTGGCTTGAAGGGTCTTGGGATTGCTGCATTTGGATTTGATTGGTCTACAATTTCTTCTTATCTTGGCAGTCCATTAGCCAGCCCATGGTTTGCCACTGCTAATATTGCTGTTGGATTCCTTATCATTATGTATGTGATGACACCAATTACTTACTGGTTGAATGCCTATGATGCCAAGAAATTTCCAATATTTTCAAGTAAGCTTTTTATGGGAAATGGTTCAGTGTATGACATTTCAAGCATCGTTGATTCTAATTTCCATCTTGATCGCAATGCTTATTCAAAGAAAGGGCCTATACATCTCAGCACATTCTTTGCAATGACTTATGGTCTAGGATTTGCGACACTTTCTGCTACTATTGTGCATGTGATGCTCTTTCATGGAAGGTAGTCACTACGTGAATCACCCGATCTTATCATCATTATGAAAGTGTTTAGGATTTGAGATATTTTATTTCCCTTCTCTTTGAATTTTATTTTTGTAGCTCTTGAATAGACCTCTTTCTGAACTACTTAGTTAAACAACTTCAAGCTTCTTTTTGTCCAGAAACATGGGTGATCTTAAACATGCTATGTTCTTTTCCTTGCAGAAACTTGTTTTCTAAACTGGATTTCCGTTTACTCGTGTTCTCAGTTACTATAATGAGTTCTCATTAAAGTGGCATACTTTCACATCCTTGAACTATAAGAATTTTTTATATCAATCTAGATAAAACACAGATTTTTCTGTTTGAATTTTTCCAAAAAACTGAAGATGTTATTATTGTTTTTTAACATGAAAGTCTGCACTGTAGTCACCATTTTCGAAATTTTAATTTTGAAAATACTTTATGTCTTGCAAAATTTTAATTTCATGTACACTTACCATGTGACCTATGCAGGGAAATATGGATGCAAAGTAAGAAGGCCTTTGTTGACAATAAAAAAATTGACATACACACAAGACTTATGAGGAGGTACAAATCAGTCCCCATGTGGTGGTTTCACATCATACTAGTGGTGAACATAGCTCTTATTATTTTTTCTTGTGAGTACTATATCGAATCACTTCAATTGCCTTGGTGGGGCGTATTGCTAGCTTGTGCAATTTCCATTTTCTTCACTCTTCCAATCGGTATAATAGCAGCCACTACAAATCAGGTATGCTAACCATTTACCTAAAGAGCTTGCTAATTTCATATTGGTGCTAAGGAGAATTCTCCAAGAGCTGATCTCTTTTTTCTTAACAGGCACCTGGTTTAAACATTATAACAGAATACATCATTGGTTACATGTATCCAGAGCGCCCTGTGGCTAACATGTGCTTTAAGGTGTATGGTTACATTAGCATGACTCAAGCATTAACCTTTTTGCAAGACTTCAAACTCGGTCACTATATGAAGATTCCACCAAGAACAATGTTCATGGCACAGGTCACTTATAATTCCTCAGTCATTTTAAGTTTTATAACACATATTAGGATTTCGTTGTTAAGAAGCTAAACCTGGCTGCATTGTATGCAGGTAGTAGGAACAATCGTATCAGTGATTGTATATACAATAACTGCATGGTGGTTGATGGGGACGATCCCTGACCTTTGTGATACATCCAAATTGCCACCTGATAGCCCTTGGACTTGCCCAATGGACAATGTCTTCTATGATGCATCTGTTATATGGGGTCTTCTTGGACCTCGTAGAATCTTTGGAGACCTTGGTGAATATAGCAATGTGAATTGGTTCTTTCTTGGTGGAGCCATTGCTCCTCTTCTAGTTTGGCTTGCTCATAAGGCATTCCCAAGCCAAACTTGGATACCTCTTATTCACATGCCTATTTTATTGGGTGCTACATCAATGATGCCACCTGCAACAGCAGTGAACTTCACCAGTTGGATAATTGTTGGCTTTCTCTCAGGGTTCGTTGCATATAGATATCGACCAGAATGGTGGAAGCGCTACAATTATGTTTTGTCTGGTGGTCTTGATGCTGGAACTGCCTTTATGACAATCTTATTGTTTCTGAGTTTGGGTTCTTACAACATTTCTCTTAACTGGTGGGGAAATAATCTTGAAGGGTGCCCTTTGGCTTCTTGTCCTACTGCAAAGGGCATTGTAGTTAAAGGTTGCCCTGTTCATTGATCACTACAAGATTCTTCGTTTAGCTACATTGAGATTTGTATAGTTCTAACTTCTAAGACAATCAAATGCTTCAACTACTGTAATTATGCTCATGAAAATAATCAAATCAATCAGAACTTTGGTATGCAAATGTATAATTGCAGAATTGGAATCCAACCAACTAGAAAAGTTAATCTATCTCACCCAACCATTTCTTGCACCATGTAAAACAAGCAACTATAGTTTTTTCTCCATAATGTCTTTCAATACCCTTTTCATCACATATAAGTGGGACCCGAAGTCAGTTGCATCCTATAATAGTTCATTCAGCACATGCATTATTCGATTATAAAAGGAAAAGCAGTCCAATTACAGCTGCAGTATAATGCTTTCTAACAACTTTTTTCAAGGCTAATTCATCACAGGAACATTTTTTGTACACATCAATTGTAACAACTCTAGTCTATACTATAGACAAGGCAACAAAGAAAAAAAATAAAGTATCAGAGTTGGAAACTGTCACAAGTGTTTATTAGTTCATCAAATAATAAAGATAGATTAACCCGGTTGGATCGCATGTGATTTCAACACCAATATAGGGGTAATTCTCTTCTATGTCAATACCACCATTTCTTTTTATGTACCAAAAGAAGCTCATGAAATGTCCACCTTTGCATCCATTAATTGATTCCACACAGCTAATCAATTCTTGCTCGTATTACAACTTTTTAATCTCGGGTGAACGCACAACAGCCCCCTTAAGTAAAAAAAACTTAGATATGAGAACAAACATAATAATGTACAACCATTCAAATCAAACAAAGTACAATGAATAATTAAACAAAAAGAACAATTAAATGTAAACAAAGTGCCAATGCGATTGGGCACAGCGAAAACGACCAAGAGTAAACTCCAACGCATAATTTAACTCTAGCTTAACTTTTTTCTAGAAGTGCACAGATGCTAATTGCTCAAATACAACACAGTTTGATCAGAATTTAGAAGTTAATAAATTCAAAATATTAAACATTTGCGTGCCATTCATTAAAAGTGGAATACCACTAATAAATTGAAATGAATTGTGCCTATCAATATTTATCCAAACTCATGTTTCGGATGATCAACAATAGTTTTCTACTATAAGTAATTGTGACGTATAAGGCTTGATAGTATAAACTTATACAATATGTTATGACAACCTTATACAATACGTTATGACATTTTCAGTTGTTTGGTGTGACCATCGTATAGTATAAACTTATAAAGCAGAATCCCTTAATACATCAAAATGATGTATAACTTAATCCGACCTAAGGGGGAAGGATTAGGCCTGATAAGGGATTAGTGTATTAACATCGACCAATGCAATTCTAAAAAATTAATATATTAAAATAAAAATTAATTTTTCAATATATTTAAATTTTAAAATATTGAATATTCATATTTTTATAAAAATTAATTTATTTTTTGGACACACTGGTCAATAGATTTTTATAAAAATTAATATCATATGACATTTTGTAAATAATTATATAAATTCTTTATTAAAAGATATTTTTATTAAAAATATTTATTTTCATCTTATATAGTATTATACAGTGCATTACCAAATACTAGATGATATTATCTTATATGTAACATCCCCGGCCTCGAGCCGGTTCAATTAACATGCATACGATACTTAACAGAAACAGCGGAAGACTTAACTTACGAAAATACGAACTAACTTTTTCTTTTTCTTTAATCCTTTTTCACATGACATATCACATTGCATACTTCTTCTAATTTAATTCTTATTTTACGGAGACGAAAATCGGACAGAGTAACCTCTGTAAATCGGACAACTGGGGATTTTCCAATCCCACTCTCAAGAGTTCCTGATAGACAGTTTAAACAATATATATTTCCAGAAGTACCAGTCATGCAAATATACTCAGATACCCATCTATGGGCGCATGCTGGACTTGGCTCCGTGCCACAAATCTAATAGCATGCAATCCAATACATAACATAACTGAATACTACATAGTCATATCATCATGCCTGAATACATAAATGTACATGTATCGAATATGAACACTATGCAATAATACATCTTTTCCAAAAATACGTCTAAAACAAATAGTAGCATCCGACCACCCAGAACTCCACATCCTCATACTAGTACCTCTAGCCACGGTTAGTGTCCTTGTCCCATGAGGCTCTTCAATTAACTGTGTTCCTGAAATCATATCCCCAAACGGGGTTAGAGACGAATCTCTAGTAAACTCCAGGTTTATGGAAAACCCTCCATACCCTGGGCTCACTTCCTGCATGACAATCAGATACATAATATACAAAACATCATATAAGCAATTATCATAACTGAACAAAGCATATATACATATCTTATCAAAGACAAACGCAGTCATTCCCAAGGGATGACCCCAAGCGAAAATCAACACACGTAACAAATATCTTTTACAAAAATCATCACAATACTCACATCAGAACAAAACGTGTTATATCAGAGACGTACGCAATCGTTCCCAAGGGATGACCCCAAGCGGAAATCAACGTACGTAACAAATATCATTTACAAAATCATCATACATATCCCATAAAACATGTCATATAATCAAATATCATAACCAAACAAAACATATCCACATATCTTATCAGAAACGTACGCAGTTATTCCCAAGGGAGGACCCCAAGCGGAAATCAACGCACGTGTTCCCAAGGGAGGACCCCAAGCGGAACCAGAACATATCAGAGGCGTACGCAGTCATTCCCAAGGGAGGACCCCAAGCGGAAATCAACGCACGTGTTCCCGAGGGAGGACCCCAAAGCGGAACCAGAACATATCAAAGGCGTACACCATCAGTCCCGAGGGAGGACCCCAAAGCGAACATCCGGGTACTATACAATCAATGGCCAGATATTGTTACAGAAATCATATTACAGAAGTCATATCATAACAAAACATATCATATTAACACATATCAAAGTAAATACATCAAAACAAAACATATCATATTATCATATAGCTCTATATGAATGCATCTATATCATATATCTCATACATATCATACAACCTGACCACAGTCCGTACACTATGGCGGAACACAAAGTAGAAGCGAACCCCATAAACATAGAGCTTACCTCTTGGAGCTTTACAATTTGCTTACTCGAAGAACAAGCTACTTATCATGCTCCACGAGAATCCAAACGTTCACAGTCCCTAGGTACACCTAGAGAAGGAATTCAACACAAAACTCAATAAAATGATATAATGCCATGTAAATATACAAGACACACACTTTATTGTTTATTTTCTTTTTACTTAATCATATTAAGTCATGAGTGGGTGGTTCTTTGTTCAATAAATCCCCACAAAATTTCACACATTCACTTAGTCTTAGGATAGTCCCAACTTAAGGCAGAATGCCCATTACAATGGAGCTATAAGATTTCTCTTTGTCTCGTGCCTAAACCCAAGCTTAGCCGCCTATATAAATTATTTTACGCATATAAGTGTTCTCACTTTGCGAAATAATATCTCCGAACATATACCTCCTTTGAAAATGGCTAAAACTCATTTTAAGGTCATACAAAGGAGTTACCTTATTTTCTTTTTTTATTTCACGAAAGCGAAGGTCCATACACCTTAGAATATTATTCCACGCATAAAAGTATGCTCGATTTGTAAAACCGTAACTCATAGCACATACTTCCTTTGAAAATGGCTAAGAGACACATATAGGAAATCATTCCAACTTCATGATTCCAATGCTTTAGTCCATCAAATTCAAGCTTATCACACACCTCTAATCCAAGATTCATTAATTCATTTATACGATACTGTTCATCTCTACAGTACTATTCATGTATACGTCACTATTCACGTATACGACACTATTCAAAAATACGGTATCTTTAATTTTTCCAAATACATTTTCACCGTTAAAATTCTCATCCAAACACTTTTCTCAACATGAGCTAAACCTGAATCAAGCTCTAACATGCTCAATCAAGCCAAATTTTAAAAATGAAAACCTAGATTCAATCTTCCTCAAAACTAAAAGAAAACCAAGATTTCTCAACATAAACTTAACTAGAACGAAGGGGAAGGCTTACTTCAAGCTCCCATGGCTTCAAGCTCCATCAAAATTCCCATTATACATGAAATCCGAAATCTTGGAGGAGGAGGATCTCTCTCTACAATGAAACCCACTCAGAAATACTGGTACCAATGGATTCTTCTCGAAATTTCTTATAAGTTTGGCTTTGGAACAGAGTGATTTGGAGTTTTCTAGCTCAAGTTATGAGCCTTGGAAGATTGGATTTCAAAATCTCATTCTCTTCCTCCCTCACTGTCGTCCGCGAGAAGAAAATAAGAAGGAATAGTAACTTTTTTTGAAATTTCACTTATATAGGTCAACTTAAATCCAACTGGGTAAAGGTTTATCTATCTACACACCTCCATTCATAACCAAACTTTACCCAATGGACTAGAATATTTTTCTAGTCATATTTCTATTTTTACTTTCACTTTTTGGATAACTTTATTTACCCGTATTTTTACCTCTTAACTGTCATTTTAACTCATTTTTCACCAAAGGTGACTTTATTTCTTTTACTTCTAATTATTCTTCAATACTAAATCCACAATTACTAATGAGGGTTATTATATTATACATTATATTATTTTATACAATACCATGCCAAACGCTTGATAATATTAAAATTCAATCAAGTCTTATACAATAATACCTTATACTATCATGTCTTATACTATCTGGCCTTATATATGACAAGGGAAGGTCTTATAATATCATAAAAGACCAAGTTACCAACCCAGTTTCCATTTCAATTCACAATATATATGATAAGGGAAGGATCCGTTTACAAATTTTTTTTACAAATTTGTGCAAATTACACTATGTACTCCAGGGAGGGCAAAAAAAATTAATTTATTGCTTTTTTAATAAAAAATTATGAAAATGTAATTGTTTTGAAATTATTTACGCAAATATAGCACTCAAACACGCCCACATGGGACGTGTTCCAATGGAGAGAGACACGCCCACATGGGGCTGATCAGGAGAGACACACGCCCAAAAGGGGCGTGAGTGGTTTG